CCTCTACCCTCGAATTCCAAGGCACGATCATCTCCAATGCACCGCCGTCCGAACCCGGGAAGATGGTGTAGGAAACGTCAACATTTCAGACTTGAGCACGTGGTTGTGCCAAACTTGCTCCAGGAGAATCGACCAGAAATATCATCAAAAACCATCACGGTCGGGAGGCTAAGAGCCCGACAGGTCTCGGCGACAGCCTGTTCTAGAGCGCAATCTGAGCGTCGCCTTCTTATTGTATGCGATAAAAGAACAAATATAAAAATATATTATTGATACGGGCACCCAAGTCAGTTTAATTCCTCCTGCAGTGATTGACAGAAAAAGCCAAAATCCTCTATCCTCTTTGGTCATTGCCAATAAGACAGAAATTAAGGCTTTAAGAAATGTATATAGATTTTGGTTTCAAAAGGTTCCTTAAGTAGACTTTCGTTTGGGCGAATCTGCCTTTCGCTATCCTTTGAAATGATTTTCTCAAGTGACATCGACTTTGCGTTTATTTAATCAATAACAAATTCGTGGATGCATAATACAATCATTGGACCTATACCAAGCCAGCTTCTTTGTATCGCTCGTGCTATGTGTTTAGAACGGACAATTCAACCTGGAATGAGCTGCTGAGCAAGTTTCCCTTCATAACCAAACCTGTTATTAACAGAGGTGCAACTAATCACACAGTAATGCACCACATCGAGACCACCGGCCGCCCGGTTTTCCATCGACCCCATCAAATGACCAAGGAAAAGCTGAAGGCAGCCAAATTTATGTCAAATAGTCTAATAAATACTGGTATTATTTGCCCATCAAAGAGTGAGTGGGCGCCTAATATAAAGGTAGGAAGCGATGGAGACCCTGTGGTGATTTTAGAAGGGTTAATGATGTAACAATTTCAGACAGATATCCCCTGCCACGTGTTACTTACGTTGCCTTCAAGGTAGGAACATTTTCTCCAAACTTGACCAAAATACTGCCTATTCTCAGATCTCTGTGAATCCAGATCACATAGGCATTACCCCTTTCGGTATGTTTGAATTTAACAGGAAGCCTTTTAAGCTTAGAAACACCGCACAAACGTTTCAAAGACTAATGAGAGAAGTTGCTCGTGGCCTAGGAAGAGTTTTCGCCTAAATTTACGACAATATGGAACAACACAACAGCATTTGGTCGCACTGTTTAAAAGACCATTATCCGGTGAATTACAATGAAAAAAGCGTTTTTGGCATCGATTCCTTAACTTCCTTCGAACAAATCATGGCATGCTACCAAGTCAAGGGAAGGTTGTTAGTATCAAAGATTTCCCCCTTCGACCACTGTCAAGACTTTAAGAAGTTTTCTTGGCATAGTAAATTTGTCCTGTTATTTCCAACTGTGCAGAAATGTTGAATCCTTTGGAGTATATAAAAACCAAAAAAGGCCATCTCCCTAATTTAAGTTGCGCAGCGAATTTTCGAATGCACTAAATTAATCCTCGCCAAAGTGGCCATGTTGGCACATCCAGATTCAGATGCTGATTTGCACCTCGTGACCGACACCTCCGACCGGGCTGTGGGTGGTATACTCGATGCCGTAAATTCTTAGGGAGTGAAATATTTCAAGCATATGCTAATTGTAAGACAATTTAATATTTAAATTGATCATAAAGCTTTGTGTTGAGCCTTAAAGAGTCCTTTAGACAAGTATTCCAAATGCGAATTCTGCTAAATGGACATAATGCAATTCACCGGGAAGGTAGCAACGTAAAAGGAGCATACAACATCGTCGCAGACACCCACTCCCGCAGTGACATGGTTTCTGTTGTACTTAACGCCAGAATTGATTATCAAGTCATGGCAAAAGCATAGAAATGTGAACAGTCAAATCACCGTTCGCCAATGGCCTAAGTTGACGATGACGCAAGTCGAGACATGTCTACGGTAAAACATCATCCTATCATCCCTTCCGCCATGCGGAAATTGGTCTTCCTACCCTTTTATGATTCGGCGCATCCAAGAAACTACTCATAGTCAGTTTCGTCTCGCCAGGAATGCAATCAGACATCGGCAAGTGAATCAAAGCCTGACCAGTTTGTTAAAAGAAAAAGGTACACAGACACACCAAGGCTGCAATCGGCAGCTTCGAGCTAAATGCAACCATATCTACATGGACATTGTGAGACCCCTTCCACCTTCTAAAGAAGATTGCTATCTTCTTACCATTATAGACTGCTTCCCACGATGGTTAGAAGCCATTACAATGTCAGACATAGAGACAGTGACAGTTGTGACAACCTTTGTCACTCAGTAGGTTTCATGGTTTGGCACACCGGCAACCATCATAACCGAGAGGCAGGCAGTTCGAATTCGATGTTTTTGCCCAGCTATCCTAATTATTAGGAACGAAAAGAATTCACACGTGCGCCTACCATCCGCAAGCTAGCCGTTTGACTAAACGCTTCCGCCGTCAGCTAAAAGCCTGTCTGAGATGTCGGTAGATAGACAATTCGCCGTTATTCCTGTTGACCTGTAGGACCACAATAAAAGTGGAAACCGACTGCAGTCCAGCAGAAATGGTTTACAGATGTCAGCTACAATTGCCGAATGAGTTCGTTGCCCCTAGTAGCATTGGAGTATAATCTGCTGAGTACGTTAGAAATTTGACCGATATGATTGAGAAACTACGCAACATACCTTTCTGGTCAACTACCTACAAGTTGAAAGTGGCTAAAAACAGTGACTAGAAAATAATTCTACGCCAGAGATGCCACCACTATCCGTACCATACAATGGTCCATTTTGCGCCATCACCAGAGAAAACAAACACTTTACTTTATTAACGAATGGCCATCGTGAAGTGGTAAACAAGGACTCAATCCTGAAAAAATTGACGAATCAGAAGACGCCCCAACAAAAAAGAGCACCGTCAAGACATCCTATGCAGCTGAGAAAAAGGGTCAATTTCACTTCGGAAACAAGATGCAACTACCATTTACCTTCCATAGTTTAATCGAAAGTATGTCGCTTTTGTGCCAACCCACAAAAGTTGTGGTTCAAAATTGAACCTAATCAAAACCACCAGTACCACAACATTTGTAGGTTGGAACAAAAGCGACTAGGGCATGGAAAGTCATAGACTTGGTATTAGGGATAGAGACAGGATAGACGAGGCGACGATTGGAGCTAGTTGGCTGACAGTAGGTTTTATAAGAGATGTGGTCCATGTAGCAGAGGCATGACCATGACACTTACTCTGAGGCTTTAGCCTCTAATTAATCACCCCATGTGAGAGATGGATGAATTACGCCTAGAATAGCACAGATTGGGGGGCAGGGGTCGAGTAAAATACATGAACCAGAGAGATAGCAGACGGATTCGACGGGGCAAGTGGGAGACTTTGATAGGACCCAGGGAAGGACCACGCAACAATATGACAAAATCTGGTCAACATTCCCAGCACAAGGGTAAAAGGGGGTGATTAGGACAGTGTGGAGTGTGAAGGGTTTTCATGAATGCTGCTCGAAAGAGCACAACACACTAAATTTTTTTTTAATAAAAAAATAAGCACAGTAAAAATTAAGACAGGGAAGTCATGATGAGAGGATATAGGAAATGTGAATAGCCCAGGGCAGAAGGGGAGATACCATTAATGTTTAGCACACATTTGGTCAAAGGATGGGATTAATTTGTCTCTTTGACGAGTTCTAATATGATACTACAAATAGCAAGACTCACTGACGATGCCGACTAAGATGCCGGCGAAACGTCTGGGAATGTACCACTGCCCTACCTTTGTCGACTTTCATTACGATTCGATTACTACTACACAGATATTTAGAAACCCTACTAAGATGACAATCTTTCTTTGGCGGTGTTATATGGTGTAGCGAGAAGACAAATGACAAGAAGTCGAACCGTACGTACATTGATGATACGAATAGAAACTGGGTTTCGATGAATCTCCTAAGATAACATTGTTGCATGTTGTATGAGTCCATGAAGAAGAGATTCGTTGGTCGATCTCTTCAGATGAGGACGGACCGGTATTGCATATAGACGCTAACACGCACACGCTCGAGCAGAAGTAGCAGAACCAGTATGAAAGATAATAAGCCAAACCATTCTATATAGATCTATCCAGGTTTTTAATTTTCTCTTCGTATCTATAAGCTCTAATATATGGGCCTACAAGTCTCTCCCGCATAGGCCTTACCACATGAGCACACAATCTCGTAACAGCTCGATCTGGAGAGAGAATCAGACCATTCTCGAAAAGAAGGCAACACCGAGGAAAGTGTTATTTTATCTTTATAAATGTCCCACATCCTCAGTATTTCGTCTTCTTTGACAGATTATATGATGGTAACACAGGTCTTCTTCTGTCGAAGAAAATAGACGAAATACTGAGGATGTGGGACATCAGGACCATTTATAAGAAGGAAATGAAACTTTCCTCGGTATTGCCTTATTTTCGAGAATACTCTGATCTTTCTCTATATAGGGCTGTTACAAGATTTTGTATTCATGCGGTAGGGCTTATGTGAAGGAGATCTGTAGGACTATATATTAGAGGTTATTTGAGCAAAAAAAAGCCTGCGGGACCGAAAATCAGATTTGGATGAACGTATGGCTAGCACAGGACACCAGATAGATTGGTCCAATGCCAAACGCTTA